TTTAAGAAAACGAATTGGCCTCTCTTTACTGAATTGATGGAATACGGCCTTAATCATAATATACTTTACTTTAAATCCTAATAAAGTTTATAGAATTATCAAGGATACAATATCTTGTGCTAAAAAGTCCATCCCTAGAGAAAGGCAAAAGAAATATACATACTTCTGGACAGATGAACTGACCTGCCTGAAAGCTAAGTGAGGCAGGCTTAGAAGAAAGGGAGAGTTATCTCCCGATCCTGCGATGTTCAGGCTTGGAGAAAACAATCTGCATACTTTAGAAAGGCCCTTATTGCCAGTAAACGATCCTCATTTAATGAATTTATTTCAAAAATAAATTACCAAACTGATAGTAAAAGAACGTTTCAATTTGTAGGCAACCTAATGAATGATCCTGCTGGCTCATCTAAACAAACCTTCATAGTTAAAGATAAACAACTTTCTTCAGATTATTCTGTAGCGAATGCTTTTGCACAGCCTTTCTGTAGAGCTAATAAGAAAAACACTTACACAAAAATACATTCGTCCAGAATTAAGCAAAATACTACACTCCTGCAATCGGAATTTGAATCTTCTACTGATTCAGTTTTTAAGGCACCCATTACTCGAAAAGAATTTACCTACGCTTTGAGAAGCCTTTCTTGTGGAAAATCACCTGGAGGAGATAGAATCCATTCCGAGTTTCTTCACCATCTTGGTCTTGGAGCATTTGAGACTATTTCGATCTTTTTCAATCTAATTTGGAACACTGGTATTGTACCAGCTGAATGGCGAACTTCTATCATTATTCCTTTACATAAGAAAGACAAAGATCGGGATAGTCTCCGTAACTATAGACCAATATCGCTTACTAGTTTTATGGGAAACGTTTGGAGATAATAATTGTGAGAAGACTTAATTATCACTTAGAAACTTGCGGGCTTCTTGCCGAGGCGGGCTTTAGAAGCTCCAGATCTACTAATCAACATGTTGCCCTTCTGAGTCAATGTGTCAAGGACGCCCTGGATAACAGACAGGTTCTGACCGCAGTTTTTAGTGACTTCAAGTTCTAGGACAAAGTATGGTGGGAGTGCCTCCTACTGAAACTATCTGGGCTAGGCATTAGAGCAAATCTTTTTAATTGGATTAAAGGCTTCCTGTGCCAGCGCTCTTTCAGAGTCAATCTATATTAACGCTAATTCAGAAGTCAAACAACAAAAATCAGCGTTATATTTTCAAAATTTTCGCAGGACTAGTTTCGATGGTTTCACCAAACCACCATCCTCAGCTGCAAAACCGCAAATTTCATTTGCGCAAATTGCAATTAGTATTTATTCGGCGTGTCATTGTGTCTTAATCTATATTAATGATTTTATTTATAAAATACGAGATTTCTGGCGTCAAGTGCCTCTTATATGCTGATGATTTGGTTTTCTGGAATGTTTCTAAAAAAGAAAGCACAGTGAGAAACATAGAGACTAAACTCTCTGCTGCCTTGAATGCTTTGGAAGTTTGGTGTGATACTGATAATATGGAAGTGAACTTAAATAAATCATACTGCCTGACTTTCTCACTCATGCACAATCTTTGGATCTTCAGCTGACATATAAGGTACTCAAATCTCCTTGTGCGATAAATTTAAATATTTGGGTGTGACGTCTGTTCGCAAATTAACATGGAAGCCACATGTTGAGGACTTGTACAACTGTGCTACGGAGAGACTCAGTGTCCTTAAATGCCTTGGGGTTGCACTGGACAAACCCTGCTTCAAACGTATCATTCATTTATCCCCCCCTTCTGACTTATTGCTGTGAACCACTTGCTGTGGCCATAGAAAATGTACACTAGAAAAAATCCCAAATCAGTGCTTATGCATTGTTTCTGGAGCCGTGAAGACCACCCTAATTGACGCCATGTTTATGTTAACTGGTGATAAACCCTTCAGAACCATAATCCAAGAGAGGGCCTTAATTCTCTGGGAAAAGATCATTAGAGTTCCTGGATGTCTTTCACTCTGGAATGAAGTCAATCAGGATCTGACTAGAAATCTCAAGACCCAAATGGGCTTTCTACATAGAGTTTTTCAGTTAAAAAATTCACTTGGTTTAATAAATGAACAAGAATTACTTGTTCCACTACAAAATCCAATAAATTTGAAATCTTTCTGGATTAATCTTCACCTGGGTCAAAAAGTAACGAAACGTAATACGGATCCATCTATTTTGAGAGCCCTCGCTTTCGATGTATTAAATAATTTTTACCCTGAGTGGCTTCGGATCTTCACTGACGGATCCCTCCTGTCTGATAACCCTAATGCAGGTGCAGGAGTTTTTTCTGAAATTTTCTCTTTCTACATCCCTGTGGGCCAAGGTTCTGTGTTTGTTGCTGCAATTCGCACAGCTTTGTACCAGCTACCATGCCACTTAAAAAAATTCTCAAGAGCTGTTATACTCAGTGATTCCCGCTGTCGGCTAACGTTTCAGATAAAAATCCCATATCACAGGACATATTGGATTGTCAACTTTTACAAAACCTGGCTTCACTTGAGAAACCAAGTGTTCTCCAGTGGGTTCCTGCCCGTTGTGGGATTCCAGGTAATGAGAAAGCCGACTTCTTGGCAAAAAAGGGTGCTTTAATCATGCAGAATATTTCTCGTTCTTTGCCTTTCCATACTGTTAAGGACCTTATTAAAAGATCTATCAAAGTACGTGCTCAGGAAGATGTCTATCATCGTGTTTCTCATAAGTCTTGGAAGAATGCTATCCCGAATTTGTGTAATGGCCTAAGGTGTAGAGCTGTCGCTGAATTCCGCCTTGCCACCCGACATGACTGCCTACAATATCACTAATAATATATCTTCATAGATTCAAAATTGTTCCTTCTCTGATATGCACTCTGTGCAGCTCTGGAGAGGTGACGGATGCCGCACATGTCTATGTTCTTTGTTCTTGTATATTTGCTGTAACTGTTCATAATCTGCCATTGGAAATAAAAAAAAAAAAAAAAAAATGTTTCTATTGACCCACTTTGAAATATTTGAAAACTGTATAAAATTATCCCAGATTTAGTGATAAATTTCCTTAATTTAATGATAATGTTTTATAAAAATTAATATTTTCTGAAATTGTGTACATCTCTTTCTGAAACTGTGTACTCTAAAATCACTTCTGAATTTCTGAACTAACTCTAAAATTTCTGAAATTGCGTACTCTAAAATTATTCTATAATATACCTTATCACTTGCTGAGTGGTTAACCACAGATACTGAGACCACAGATACTAGGTGTTCATTCCCAGGCAAATGGTTTGTTGTCATAACTTTCCCCAAGTCTATGAGCTAGTTTCTTTTAGAAAGTCCTTGCCCAAAGCATCTCTTAAGCAGACAGCCCTGATGTGCTTTGTTGTATTCAAATGATGTGATTTAGCCTAACATTTTAAAACACATAGTTTCTTCAGAAATCTTTAATGATAATTCAAATGTAAGTTTTTAATATTATAAAATAGCTGCTTTGAACAATATGGTTGTTAGTGAAAGCAACTGTGCTATACTGTTTTGCCTTTCCCTGTCAGCACAATATTGGTTTACTTCATACTGCACAATGATCTTAATGACAGATATTTGAGCAATGAACTCTAGCCATCTTCTCAGATAGATATTTAAACAGCAAATAGAGTTGTTTAGATAAAAAAAAAATATATATATATATAATTTATAAGTCATAAGCTGTTGAAGAAATTTATGGAGAAGAGAAAATGGCTGCAGTATCAATCTCTAATTCTGAAAGGAAAGACAGCTTGGATGAAATGGATATCTGCTAAAAAAAATGAGATTCTATAATATGTACATACTTGATAGTAACAAGATATGGATTAAGAACTGTTTAACACAAGCAATAATGTTAAGATACAATGAGCACTTTTAATCTAAAATTTAAAATGAAGTAGGGAAAATTGTTTACATTTTGAATTTAATTTTTAGACCAAAATATGATACAATTATGACTACTTAAAAGGAAAATCTTTATATATATATAAAAGAAAAACATTATAACACATCCACACATACATATAATAAAAAATTATATAATTTAGCAGGAAAAATTAGCTTAAACACACTAAGAGCTGCTGCTACTAAGACACAGTTATGTAAAATTAAGCATGATTATCACAATTAATTTACACTTTTTTTAATCAGAAAAAAATAAATATTATTAAAAATGAACAAAAATTTGAAACTTAGAAAGCAAAAACCCAAAAATAAAAAACAGCAAAGAAATTTTTTTTGTAGATTACAAACATATTTGTTACTTTTCCTCTTTCTTTTATCTATAGATTTACTTTTCTGTATTTTTTACTAATGTTCCCTCTTTAAAATTAAGAAGCCAAATTATGAGGAACACATTTCTGAGGTGAATTTAACAGGCTGAAAAACACATACCAATAAATGAACTAATACTACTGTAATTCAATTTTTCAAAGAAGTTAGTTAAAGTCCAATACTATTTTCTTTTCTTTTTTTTTTTTTTTTAACTCAAACTATGCCTTTTGCTGTCTATCTGTACTTTGTACATTACCACCATGAATCAGATGTTTGTAAAATGATATACTGAAAAAATTGGAGGGGGGAGGACATAAGTGGGAGAAATATGTGACTGAATATAATATTTATTTTTACTTATTTTCTTATTGATATTTTTAATAACAAATTTTGCTTTGTGCAATCATTATTCACACTGTGCACCTTACATTTTAGATTATACTGTTTGGCATCCTTAGAGTTTTTTAAGGGTATATATTTCTTTTGCTTTGACAATTTATCATGTTTTTGCTCTCCTTAATGAAGAGTTGTAAATTAATTGTTATTATAATATTGGCTGCCACATAAATGTTATTTTAAACACTTTTAAAAGAGTAATAAACAATTTTAAGTATTCATTCTTACAAAATATCTCAATGAAGAATATTATAAGTAAATACAGTCACAGAATGAATATTTCTATGATTTATGACAGTATGCTTACTTTTTGAATGACATTAAGAATACGATGCATATTATCTAAAGCAATTTGATGATTGCCTTGATACTGTGGTAATTCAGCAAGAAGAATTCGAAATGAGAAAGGTACCATTGTGCCTACAAAGAATTTTTTTAAGTATACAATCTGTAGATAACAAAAATTTTTAAATAAAAAGCATATTTTCAAAGTACAAATTTAACAGCATAATATTAACAAATACAATACCTCTTTTTCCTTTAAACAGGTCAGGATAATACTCATAATACAAATCTGGTTTATCCAAATCACCAAATGCTGCACTCTCTACCTCAGCATACGAAAACTTCCGAAGTTTAACCATCAAAGCCAGACGTGTGTACCATAACTGTGTAAAATAAAGATTTTTTTCAACTTTTATTGGTGAATAAATTTAAAAAAAATCCTAACACTTAATTTGCAATTAAAAAATTTTCAATCTATCTCCATTAAGAACATAAAAATCAAACTGGATGAATGCAATTTTGCACGTATATGATCATTAAATACAGATGAAATTTTTAAGTTATTTAAGTTAATGGTGCTGCCTAAAATAACAGAAATGCTTAACACATATTCATTATACAGTGGTACTTTGGTATACATCCTTAATCCATTCCAGACCCTGGAATTTGACATACACCAAACAAACATTTTCAATAAGAAATAAAGCGAAAATGATTAATCATTTCTTACAAAATATCCCATTGTTACTATTATAACACTGTTTAATGTTAAAATATAAATGCAGTGGGTGAAATATATACTGTTACATGCATACTAACTTTGTAATGGATTGAATTCACACAGAATCAATGATAGCTTAATAAAATTTATTTTCGCAAAAGAAACACCTTACAATTCTGGAACTTTTCACAATGGTACTCATACAAATCTTCTCAGCATGACAGAACGCAATCAGTAGTTACCACTTCAAACTACTAAGAATGTTAAAACCAATGCAATGCAAAGTGCATCTAAACAGAAGCTTTCACGGAAATCTCTCAATACTCTGAACTCAACTCTCAATTAAAAACTCAAAACTGATACTCTCTCTGGTCTCATACAGTTTTCCAACAGCCACTAAGATATTCCCATTACCTTCAGTTTTTCAAAATTGCTGGAAGGCGTACACAGAGTTACATTCGGCCAGATATGGTTACAGTTACATAGAGATGAAACCAGTTACAATTGCACAAACATTGGCCCAAAATATCACCAGACCTACGACATTTGAAAGTTTATCAAATTTTTGACAAAAAGCAGTTGCCCAAACCGTTGTGAACTTGCCACTATCTCACCTATTTCACAAGATAGCTGTTTACCTCAGTGCTAAATGAACTCGCCCTTGTAACCTTATTTCCAGCAAAGCTCGACTCTCTTGAGGCTTTTTAGGTTACATTATACAAGAGATGTAGGGTTTCATTTATTTTTACTAATGCAGTCAAAAGTCTTTAATCCAGACGTCCATAATCCAGAATGATCTATAATGCGGACCTCAAAGCTACAAACTTTCTGCGCATGCATAAATGCATATATGTATTTACGCATGTGCATAAATACATTTACGCATGCATGTTTAATGTATAACGGACGGTATAAGCTAAGCTAAAATTATCTAATTATCTATTTCAGTTAAAGTTGCAGATTGTGTTGTTACTTAATCTTATAATTGGATCCGGCTTATTAAATTTTGCAGAGTGTTAGAGCAATTTTATAAAAGTAAGCTTGAACTTTTGATTATGTCAAAAAGAATTTCCGATTCTGGAGCTGCCAAAGGATTTACAAAGCGAAAGTATGTTTCGCTGTCCATCACACAAAAAGTGGAATTGCTGCAAAAAATAGATAAAGGCATATCCTTTGTTTCTCTAACCATTCCAAAATCTGTTTATGAATTTCCCGCTGCTCTGCGGGGAGGGGGGTGACGTCGCAGCGCACAATGAACTGGAAGTTGATCTGTCAGCTCTATCCTTATCTTCAAAGAAGATGTTTTTATTTTATTCAGCTTATAATTCCTTACTAAATGTAGTACAGTCAAAAGTCTTTAATCTGGGCTCCTCGGGACTTCGGCGATTCCAGATTATCGGTTTTTCCGGATTATAGATCATCAATTTAAATCTGGTAAGATGCCATGCAGAAATTATAAAATTAAAAATATGAGACCATAATTTATGAAATAATAAGCAATTATGATCTAAAGGGTATCAAAATTTACAAAAAAAAAGCTTAATATTTATTTGTTTATTTTATTAAACATTTCTTTCAAAGCGCGCATGCGTAAAGCTTACATTACACATAGTTGAAATTAGAAAATTGCAACCAGAAAACTATTTGATGGGTATTCGTGATATTTATAGTGACAAGGAACTTGATTTAAATCACATCAAAGGAGTACATCGAGATGAAATACTACATTTAGTAAGGAATTATAAGCCAAATAAAATAAAAACATCTGCCCTGAAGATAAGGACAGTGCTGACAGATCAACTTCCAGTTCATTGTGTGCCACGTCCGCCCCCCCCCCTCCCCGCAGAGCAGCGTGAAATTGATAAACATATTTCGGAATGATTAGAGAATCAAAAGATATGCCTTTATCCATTTTTTGCAGCAATTCCACTTTTGTTTGATGGACATCGAAACATGCTTTCGCTTTGTAGATCCTTCGGTAGCTTCAGAATCGGATATTCTTTTTGATATAATCGAAAGTTCAAGCTTACTTTTATAAAATTGCTCTAAACAGTCTGCAAAAAATAATACGCGAGATCCAATTAGAAGCTTAAGGAACAACGCAATCTGCAACATTAACTGAAATAGATAATTAGATAATTTTAGCTTAGCTTATACCATCTGTTATACATTAAACGCACATGCGTAAACGTATTATGCGCATGCATTAACGTATTATGCGTTGACGCATGCGCAGAAAGTTTGTAGTGTTGAAAAATATGACTTATTGTAACCCTTTTTCTGCATCATCTCTCCTCCTTGAAATGAGTCTAACTTTTACATAAGTTATATATAGAACATCTAGTTTAGTTCTTATTTTAAAGGGATATAGTAGTTACTTCTACTTCCTTTTTCACTGCCACAGTTTGTATTAAGAATGGACTGTTTCAGCCTAATTAAGATGCAAAAACGAAACCTGATGTTATGTCTTCTGGAAAGCCGAGTCGTGCCGATAGCTGATTGGTTGCTGTGAGATGACGTCATGTCTACTTCAGGTATAAGTATCTTGCATCGCTCTGGCTCATCCCTTCTAGTTCCTGTTTCTTTGCTCCTTGGTGTGCAGTTTCCAGCCCACATTGGAAGATGAATGCGTGCAGTCCGGTGATAAGTGCCGTGGTTCCAGTCTACAAGATGACTTTTCCTGAATAAGTGCCGTGGTTCCAGTCTACAAGATGACTTTTTCTGGATTCTCAAAAGAGGCTATGATGTGAACGACTGCTGTGGGCGGCATCCATGTTCTTCATGAAGGCAGCATTTAACACAAGTTAGCGGCGATGTTTTTCTAAGCTGTGATTCCCCGTGTTTAACTACAGTGAGCGGCGTTTTGCTGGTTTCATGTGCTCTCAAGGATTTCATTTAAATTTTTTTCAGGTGCTTTCTTGACCATGAAGCATGGACTTATTGATTGTGTAGCGAATTTCATTATAACCGCATAATTTCTGTTTAGTGATATGTTTTTCGCGTATTGAATGCCAGTATTTGGATCAGGTAAAATATTATTTAATAGTGTAACTCTTGGGGTGGATTATTAATTAAGTGAAATTTTTGATAATGATTGTTATATTTTTTTTACATTTCTGATATTGTTTAAATTTATTCATTATGTTTTTATTTATATATATTGTTAATAAATTGGTTAAGTCTAAAAACCTTTTTTTTTTGTCTTTAATGTCTGCACAGCACTTAACCTTAGGGAGCTTCTATTGCTACTGCTGCTAAATGTTTAATTTTACAACTTTAAACTTTGCTTTTGCATCATGTAGCTTTGAGGTCTGGATTATAGATCATTCCAGATTATGGACGTCCGGATTAAAGACTTTTGACTGTATTTCATCTCGATGTACTCCGTCTTTGATATGATTTAAATCAAACTCCTCGTCATTATAAATATCACGAATACACATCAAATAGTTTTCTGGTTGTAATTTTCTAATTTCGACTATGTAATTTCGATAATGTATGCTTTACGCATGCGTGCGTTGTAGAAATGTTTAATAAAGTAAACAAATAAATATTAAGCTTTTCTTTTTGTAAATTTTGATACCCTTTAGATCGTAATTGCTCTTTATTTCATAAATTACATTTCATATTTTTAATTTTATAATTTCTGCATGCCATCTTACCAGATTTAAACTGATGATCTATAATATAGTATATAATAGATAAAAACCGATAATCCGGAATTGCCGAAGTCCCGACGAGTCCGGATTAAAGACTTTTGACTGTAGTTGTTTTAAATTGTGAGCTTTTTCTGTTTTCTCTTATTCCCTTTGCATTTCTTTGCCAGGATGTAAATGAGGTGCTGGGTGAACGACAGTATTTAAACTGTTAGAGTGAAAAATTTAAAAGAATGTTATTTTGCTATTGTTAGCATATGCTGCTAATTCTTATAACTGCTAACCTTAAATATCAGCTTTGCAATCTTGCCACTGAATTACTGTTTTGCAAGCATAGATTTTGAGTGAACTTGTTAGCTTTATACTGAATTATGTAGTCTTGTACTGCTCCTACCTTTAATTTAGTATTATGTATCTTCTAAGTTTTCATTGCAAGTGGTCAGTGTTTGTAAGCACATAAGTCTGTGCCATCTGTAAATTATATAGTATTCAATAAAAGGGTCTTTTACACCTTTCCCTTGGTTGTGTTTATCTTCAAATCTATGCGAGAATTCTCAAGGAATAACATTTAGGTAGATATAGACACATTTTATCTTACAGGTAAAAAGACTAGATCCTACAGAGATATTTCAATTTCCAAAATAATTTCACTAAAATTATTTACATATATATATAAAATTCATAACATTCCTTTTTTTTAAGGACTTCACTTTCCGGACACTATACACCTTGGCGACGAAGTCATAGTTACAACTTATTAAAAACGATGCAATAATTTCAATAAACAACAAATCACATATTAAATCAATAAATAAAGGCATGAATTTAACAAATTTATTTACACATAGGAACATGGTCTTAGTACACATACTACTTACATAATATGCACTATAAAGACTACGTCTATGCCCATAGTAAAGGGGCTAGCTTGTCATAATGAATGATTTTAGGCTTAGAATTTGATGATTTACGGATCCGAACTACAATGTCATTCAGCCTGTTTAGG